GGAGGCAGTATGACCTCTGAAACGTTGGTAAACATCGACCAGACTACACAGCGCAATAACCAAGAAGACAGAAATCTTCAAATTAATAATTATTTATCAGGCTAAGGTATTATCGATTCCTGTGTTTTAAAAGTGATTAATTATTACCAAACACAAAACTTAACTCTGCTATTTATCCGTTCTTTTGTGACGTTGGACGTCACGGGCCTTTGCTTTAAAGAAACAGCCTAAATCCAAAGAAATGAACGTGTACCAAAACAGAACAGAAACCGTCAAAGTTTGTCACCTTCCAGAAGATGAGGTTCGTCACAGAAACTTGCGAAACACGGTCCGGGGTGGGGGGTGGGGGCCTCCACCTGACGCCACAAACACTTTTTACAATTGATTAAACAGCCTTACTGTCGACTTACATCGATACAAAGGCCTGGACAATGTTACACACATTGCATACGCAAATTCGCCATCCCGGGGGTGTGCCTCGACATAGAAATGCAAGCATTCTTAATCGAGAGGACGCAGCCGACAAAGGCAGAATCAGAGCGATCAACGGACGCAATGAATCTTGGTCCGTCTTCAGAAGCTAAGAGTTGCTCACCTCGTTTCGAAATCCCTCTTGATTTTGAAACCGAAATGTTATCATCGTCCATTAGATTTTGCTCTGATCCAGATGAATTTCCTTGAGACCGAAGTGGTCGGTCGTTACAGAATAATTCCATTTGTGCCTGGGTCTGGAAATGATCTCTCCATTTTACTATTTCAAAGCAGCGTAAACCGTTCGAGATATTTCTTGTCTCGTTCACAGAAACTTCCGATATTTTGAAACTGTAATAATATTTGGTGCAAGATACAAGTCACGTAGATTCTCCTTAGGTTCGTGGGATTGTAACAGATCGTGAGACTTCAGTTTCCTGACATCACGAAAGACGGTTTTGACTTAAACAACAACAGAAGTGATTCGTTACTATGAAAATGTGTTACTAATAGAATAAATTTCTTCAAATGAAAGCCAGATTGAGAGATCAAAGACGTGGGCCTAACGCCACAGTGTATTTGGCCCTTTCAGATTTCCATAAGCAATTTCTGTCCCGGAAGAAACCGGCCAGTCGGCCACTGCTCGTGCGTGCTGGAAACTCGAAGACTGCTCTCAAATCGGCTCCCTTAAACAGGTGTTTTAGACGTAGCTGTTTTCTCAGTACGAGCAACTCAGTGCAGCCTGGTTCTCGTACGCAAGGGTTTCAAGCCAATAGCAATGCTTATCTTACGAAAATGGGAAATGTAATTTGGCCCTTGGTTCTTGCGGAAGGGACCAAGAATGTTAGACACACTTGAGGTCAGTGACTTTCCGAATCTACGAGGCTCGTCCTTAAAGTAAGTTTCCCTGGGGCCGTTTACAGAAACAAAACACAATTTCATGGAAATATTTATTGCAACAGATACAGCAAGTGTCCAGCTATTTTTCAACATATTCGCCACCGGAATTGAGACATTTGTCATACCGTGGGACCAACTTTTGAATACCTGTGTCGTAGAAGTCTGCCGCCTGGGATTGGAACCACTGTGTGACAGCCATCTCCGCCTCTCTGTCATTCTCAAAACGCTGACGCTGACGCTGACCGGACAGGAATTTCTTGAGGTGTAGGAAAAGATGGAAATCACTGGGAGCGAGGTCCGGGCTGTAGGGTGAATGATTAAACACCTCCCAGCTGAACTTCTGCAGGAGACTTGCTGTCCGTCGAGCCGTGTGCGGCTTAGCGTTATCACTGACCGCACTTCACAGTCGGCGGGGGCTGGAATAAGAACCTCCATCTTCAACAGCTGCAACGATGCTACTGTGAGAACGCGGGAGGTGCCGTTAGTGCATGCGCCATGCTACGTCATTGCTCTATCACGTACGCACAGTCGCTTCGCGCAATATAAGGTTTGCTAGCTGTGGGACGAGTGGGAAACTTACTTTGTGGACGCGCCTCGTACTTTGATAGTAATTTTAATTTCCGACAAAGTAATTTCATTGAGATTTCTAAAAACCAGCAAATAACACGATTCTCGCGAAGTCGGTCATTAAAGAAATATTTAAATTTCAAGACAATAAACACTTCTCAAAAAATAGAATTGCCTGCAGAATGTACTGGGTTTAATACAAACAAAGTGTGAGACTCAGATTTCATTGACGTCGGGAAAAAATGTTTCGGTGCAAATAAGAATGAGTCAGTCCTTCCCATATGGGAAGCATCACCCGGGCACTCAGCTAACCCAACCCCGGATGGGTTCAACTCTTCACTTCACCACCCGCTGTCCCCTCTTTCAGCTTCGATCTGAAGCTTCCTTACCTCTCAGAGTGTCAATTTCTTCTATCGTTTTAATAATTTATAATATTATTGTGATTCCTGAAATAAAATGATACGAAAACTGACGTAAATCTGATTTTTATTCAGTTAAAATATTTCTACTTACACGAAGACGTTTCTGATTTGGTGATTAATTTCAAACGGAATAACCTGAAGTGTATTAGTTATTTTGTAAATTCACTTTAAAGCCATTTGAACTTCAAATATTGTAGGGGACAATCTAGGAATTTTAAGGGGATTCAAGTAAATTTGAAGACTCGATACGATCTCCTCAATGTTTACTTGTTTCTGTGACCCTGTGGAATATTATTTGGAACGGCGCTAATAATTTTGGCGCCTGGGATGATGTGTTTTGGTTGAGGTGGAATAATTTTCCTGCTCCATTTTCTTAGAAACATGAATTGAACTGCTTATTAAATACGAAATTTAATTTTGTTTCGCTCTTGTGTTTAACTTACACGGAAAGGAACTGGTACTGTTAGCAGTGTAAATTGAAAAGTGTCCCGTGGGAGGGCAACAAGATCTTGGGGACATTAACTCTTACGATTGTAACGAGTACAAAAACTCAGTCGCCGTTACAATGACGAAAAAGTAATATTTTGAATGCGTAAAGATTGGGAAACACCAAAAACAGAAGACACGCAAAGCGTAATTCAAAATATTTTTAGTTCTCTTTTCCGTTTTATGAATTACTTATTTATACTTTATTTAACGACGTTTTTCAGTAGCTGAGACTATATATACTGTCGATAGTTGCTTAAACAAAGCATTGCTTCATAATTGAGTAAAAATTGCAAATATATTTTTAGTGATTTTGTAAACGATGCTCGTTCTTCCCCGCAGTTAGGGATAATATTAAAATAGTCACAGATGGTCTGTTTTTTGTTGTTGTAAGACGATCCACTTTCAGTGTTAGCAGCTAAAGGACTTAGTTAAGCGACCGTCTAAGTTTCTCGTTGTCTGAATAAGTTTGTAATTGTTTATATTTCGAATTCCGAGTGATTAATTTCTCGATCGATGTTATCGCGTGTAAGTCCAAATGGTTCTGATGTCGGTTGCGAGCT